TTTAATGTCTTTTTTTTTAAAAAAACAAAAGGGTGTGCTGTAAACATTAATTGACATTTTTTTTTAAATCTACATGCTCTTTTTGAGAACAAAAAATTTTTTTTTTAAATATAACTATTTATTTGTTTCATTAATCTACACAATTTTCATATACATATTCATATACATATGAACAATTATTATAGTCGGCATTGCCATACTTATAGATATGTCAAATTCCAAACATATCTGATTCCAGACTATTTTTACAAATATTATTTTGTTCTATTTTATTGTAAACTAGTGCAAGTTAATATAATTCTCTATATAATCTACCTAAATAAGTATATGTGAGTATGTTTTGTATACTATTGGTTGTATAATGTATGTAAGTAATTGAATTGATTCAGGGGTCCTTGGAGTTTTTAAAACAAATTATGTTTTAAAATTGACGTTGAACATTGCGCAACAAACTTATTTGCTATTTGTTAAAATATCTATATGTTTAAGTAAATAAATAAGAATAAAACACAAGCTGCATGCGCATATTGTGTAGACTTTCTGTATATATATATATATACCAAAGTGGTATACATTTATTTCAAAGAGCTCATTGAATAAAAACTTATACCTAGATACATGTAGTTCTGCACTTAATTATAGAAATATAAATAAGATGATGACGATGATTGCAAATGTTAATAAAAATTGGTTGGTGGCGGTGGCGGTACTGGCGGTTTTTTTTTATACACACTAAGTATTAAGTATGATTATTTTGTACTTTTTGTTTTACCTATGTATTAAAGAATAAAGATATCAAAAATGCAAAAATGTTATTTGCAAAAAATAAAACAGCAAAAAAAAAAGGAAAAAAACGAATATCTTGCCTTATATTTTAATTTATGTTATTATTTTGCATAGGTTGACATTTAGCGTGGGATAAATTAGTAGACTTGAAATTAAAGTTTATACCAGCGTAAAAAAAATAAAATTTAGAGCAAATGTTTTTAAGAATCAATAAAAATAAGTAAAATGAATTGCATAGAAATGTTAAAATTTTATACATACTTACATAAACAGGGTGATTCAGCAACAAGTTAAGAGTAATATATCATCGGGTAGACTGTCGTATATGAGTAAAATTTTTGTTCGACATATAGTGTCGAATTCGTAAATTGTAAAATTGTCGTAACACAAAAAGTAAAAGATGAGGAAAATCGTAATTTTCCTAAAGTTCGAATGCTTGTATTACCGAAAAAAACATGTAAAATGAAATAATGCGCCTTCTAATAGCCCTTTAAAATACTGTTTTTGGAACAAAAGTTATAAGGAAAAAAACTTGATTTGTTAAATGTTGTGTCGATATGTTAGAATTTCGGCAAATTTTCCTAAAATTCCTGTAGCTCCGAATTCATTCCGATTTGACACTATGTTCCGATGGTAGATGGCTCCTAACTTGTTGCTGAATCACCCTGTATACTACATAAAATTATAAATTAATATGTAAATTTTATTATAGTACACGTTGCATACATCTATAAGTGGGTACTGGCAGGATTATAGACAATTTAATTTAGTTTAAATAGGAAGAGATTTTTAGTTTTCTTGTTAGATGGTGTAAAAATTGAAAAACTTTACCATAAATATATTATTCTTTAGCAAGTAAAATAATCAAAAAGTGTCGGAAAATTAACAAAACATAGAAATAATTTTGCGTTTTATTTCATACTTACATGTGTAGCAAAAAAAAAATATATTAGGTTGGTGCATATTGTAAGAGAATAGTGGGTGGAAATGGTATTTTTTTTTTGTTTTTATATTATTGAGTTGTTCCATATGTAAGTATTTTTGCCGCATGTGCATAATACTTAACGTACGATTGTGTATAGAAGAAAATAATTTCTTTAGATATTTGACTAACAAATAATAATTATTACATCTATTTAAAAGCACCATTAAAAAAATATTTAAGACACCATAGTCTATAAAATGAAATTATTTGTAAATAAATTATATATGTAGTTAAATAATATAATTAATTTTATACTCAAATATAAATTATCACTTTAATTTAATTTACCATAAATACAGAATTTATTTTCTCTTTCATACGAATTTCATTTAGATTTTTTTGAAATTTGCAATTTAAATGTAATAAATTTCTTTAGTAAATTATTATTATTATAGAACAATTAATTATATATACTTATTTAATAAGAAATTGAAAATTATGAATTTAAGAATATAATATTTAAGAGATCAATATTACTTTTAAATACTAATGTCTTCCTCAATTTAGTTTTGTATAATAAAATTAATAGTAATCATAATATTAAAATAAAAATAAATAGCCAGTATTTTTCTTCTATATCTGTATATTTGTATGTACATATAATAATCGAATTTATTGAAATATTTATTTAATTTTATAAACCCTAGCAGAATTGAATTTTAAATTAAGAATTTTAAATTAAAAAAATAGTGAATAGTACAATATAAATAAAATTGTATAAACATTTGCCTACCACTACTTCCGTGAATTTTTATTTTAAATAAATTGCCAATAAATATTTAAGTTGTTTTTTTTTTTAAATTAAATTTAACAAAAATGTTTTTGAATTGATTTGCTTTTCTAAATATCAATAATTTCAATATAAATTAAATAATTTAAAAATAAATTTTAAAATAAATTTTAAATTCAATTTTACAGATTATTTACAAATAATGAAAAATTTTCAACAATTTCTAGAAGTAAATTTATTCTGAAAAAATATAATCCAATTTTTTTTCAATGTTGGCGCCTGAGCATGGTCCAATTGAAAATTTCAATAAATTTCAATAAATTTCTGCTGACAATGCAAATATTAACTTGTGTTATATTACAAATTTTACTTAATAAAATTATTGCAGTTTTGTTTTGAGTAAATTGCTTATCTTAATACTAAGTACAATATATTAAGTTGTAGATCTAAAATTTTATAATATACTTATGTTCTACATGCATTTAAGATTATTTAATACTTGCTTGCTTAAGGTTTACTTCATATTCAGCAATTTCAAAAATGATGAAATCTCTATTTTCAGAACTATTATAAAATTTTGTTAGCGAGTTCAAGGCAGTCACCTTTTCCATACATTTTAATATGTTGAAGCATATTTTTTTAGCATAATTTATGATTTATTGTTTAATTCATTTTTGGACTTTTAACATTAAAGATTAAGTATTTAAACATTTCTATATTATTTTTAAATACTTAAGTACTCAACTATATTTAAATATATGAATTTAGCTTTTAAATTTTAGTAACTATTTTTAGAATAAGTAATGAAAAATAATGAATATGACAATAATTTAGAGTAAACAATAAAGATTATCTCAAATTTTTATGCTTATTTCTATTTCGAACAAGAAAATTTCGTTTTTTGTTATAATTAACATTATTTATATGTGCATCTATATTTACGGAAACATGAAATCACTTGCGGTGTGTGTACGTTTTTTACATATATATATATATGAATACTTATATGATTTCTTTTGTGTGTTCCATTTGTAACTATAATAATAATTAATTAATTATTTTCAAAACAAAAATTACAATTAATTGTTATGTCGGAAATGAAGAATTTGACAATAGAATATATTTTGGTACCTTCTTAACAAAAAAAAAAAATGATCATCTCTTTCCTGATACTAGAATATTTTTTACCGAGACTGTGTAGTATTGAATTAAAAGATATCTATAAAGATAGGTAAGTATATATATACATATTAAATTCAAATACTCGGAAGTTTAATTAAGTACAACAACTTTTGTATTGAAAAGAACTCGTTATCCTTGGTATGAAATATATTTTTGCTACAATTATTTTGTTTCTGCTATAGTATTAAAATGATTGCTTTAGAAGAATGATTGAAAAGAAGAAGAATCATATAGCCGATGTCAATTTTAAGACGAACCGAAAATTTTTACAAAATGTCAATTTTACGATATATAGTGAATTAAACACACTTCTTTAATAGCATAAGTACCTCATATAAATTGAAGAAAGTTTAATCTTCTCATATAAAAATTTATATATGTGATTAATTTTACAGAACACTCATCAATGATTAATACATATTCCATTCGAAAATTATTATCATCATTTAAAATTCATAAGTATGTAAGTATGGCACATGGCATTATTCAAATACACAATCCTAGAAATTCTATTTTTAGACATAAGCATACAAGTAATCAAATGGCATATACAAGAGTAATCAAATACATCATTATCTTTTTAATAGGTTTACAAATCCATCTGCTCTTTTAGAAAAAAAATAAACTGTTAAATTTTTAATCAATGAAATATGAGAATTTTAAATTAATTTAAGAAGCCAACAACTGACTGCCAAATATTACAACTACTTAATGTAGATATTTATTTTCCTAAAACCATAGAATGGTGAATAATATTTTTTTGCCTTTTGATTGACCTAATTCAATGTTTTATTTTTTCTTTTAAAATTTTTTTCGAATTTTTTCTGTTTTTAAATATTGGTGGCAGATGTTTTTAGGTTTTAAACTACATATTTCTATAGTTTTTTTTTTTGCCTACATAACTCCTAGAAGGAGCATAAAGCTGATAACATGATCGTAGATATTTCAACCACAGTTTTGTGCGTAATTTCAGATTACCTAATTAGATGACTCTAGCCTGCTGTAGTTTTTTCTTTATATTGAATATTTAAAGTTACTACTATCTATCTAATCTAATAGGGATTTCTTGTATACTAATTTTTTTATTTTACAAGTATTGTATATTTAACTATAAACGGGGGTTCATATGCACATGTGTATATTAATTTATGAAATTTGTGTAATAGGCCTAATCTGAATTCAACTAATGCAGTGGAAATGCAATTCCTACAATTTCTTCAAAGATAGCAGCTATGCCGAATTTGCTTAAGAAATTTATAAAATTTAATTTTCTTTTTTTAACAATATTCAAATTAAATAAATATTTTTTCTTTTTACCTCTAAAACTGAATAAATCCGAGCATGTGATTAATCCACTTTAATTTGTAGGTATTCACAAACAACACACATACAAATTGTATTTAAAATTTTTTAAAATTTTTATTTATTTATTCTTTTTAATATTCTTAATGTCCACTTAAATACCTTTTTATTATTATTTTGGTGTTATTTTAAAAGAATAAAAACAAAAAATCACTGAAATTTCTTCCTTTTTTTTTAAATTTATATTTTCTATTTTTGAATATTTTTTTGTTAATTTTATATTTTATATATACACACTACTTGTACATATATATATATATATTTGTTTTAAATAAGTATTTAAATATTCTCAAATTTTTATTTTCTTGGGCTATTTGAAAATAAAAGAAGAAAACAATACTATATTTTGTTGCTGATTCACACAATGCAACGTTGCAATATTCACTTTTATTTTATTATTATTATTTTTTATTTCTTTATTATTGTTGTTGCTTTTGTTTCTGTTGCTTTTATTTTATGATATTTTATTATTATTGTTGTTTTTGTTGCATTCTGATTATTGTGTTATTCTTTATTCTTAAAAAAAACAAGAAAAAATCATCATCATTATCATTATCGTCATATCATTCACTCTTCTTTTAAAAGATAGTGTGTTCTTATTGTTGTGGCCGTTCATGTATAGTAAAAAGAAGTGTGCAAAGAAAAGAAAATGAATTTTTTTCCCTTTACACACAAAAATAAAAGTGTGTACAACAAATACAGAAATGTTTTGAAGAGATAAAAATAATCAAGAGTAAAAAAAATAAAAAATAAAATCAAAAATTAAAAAAAAAAATAAAGTATTTTTATAAATTGAGAAGAACTGTTCTTTTTCTAACGCACACACCTTACCAATCTAAAATAGAAGAACAAAAAAGAAAAAAAAAACTTTTTCAAGTATAATGAAAAGAGAAAGAAAATTATGAAATTTCTGAGAAATTTCTGATAATTTTTTTTTATTTTTGTTGCTTTTCGAATGTTTTCTTTTATGTTGTTTTGTAGTTTTCGGTTCCTGTCGATCTGCTATTTTAGAACAAATCACACTTATCATCCCAATAATTTTCAAGCCTTTTTAAACCATTTGCTTTTCATTTTTATTTTATACACATTTTTTTTTGTGGTATGTTCTAAATGCATACTCGATAGTCTCTCGGTACTGCCAAATCAAAAAAAAATCGTTTTTAGCTAAATTTTTTGGCAAATTTATTTTGTAAATTTTTTTGTTCGCCATTTAAAAATAACACTACAAATGGGATAAATAAAATATAATTCTTTATACCGTAAATACCGTAAATTTATAATTTGTACCGTAAATACCGTAAATTGTCAAAATTTTAAATGTATACGTACTTAGTTTTTCTTCACCCCTTTAAAGAGATAAGTTACCAGAGATAATATTAAAAATTTTCGTTAATTTTTATTAATTTTTTAAAAATATTTTAGAAAAATTAATCGGTAGCAAATTTTAATTTGGCAGTATTGTGAACAAGCATATTACACAACATACACAGGCTTTTTGTATTACAGGATTAAATACGAATACCGAATACTTAGTGCAATTGTTTTGATGCCTATAGGTGTATTGAAGTGATTTAATTCAATATAATGGCCTCACTTTGTATTAGTGTCTATTTTAGAATAATATACTTTTGTTAATTTTCCTTTTATACTTGCTTATTTATATAAATATTGTATATGTACATGTACTTACGTTATTTACTACATTACTATATTTATAATTCATCATTTAATCACATCACGATTTTTTCGATGAAAATTTTATTATTCTTTACACACAAAATTACACTAAAATTATTGTATAGTTACATGCTTTCTTACATACATATATTCTTATATAAATACAAACTGTAATAGACAATATACGTACATAGATGTAAATATAAAAGAAGTGAACAACAAAACTCTCAAGTACCAGAGGAATTTTGGAATAAAGAGCCTAAAAATATCAGAAAAGAAAATATCATTAAAATTAGTGTGGCTTTCTTAGTTATTTTTTATTGTTCTTGTTTTTTTTTTTATTCAACACACATACCTACTTAGAAGTGATGAACCTATTTTTAATAATTTTTTGTTCTTTTTTACTTATATGTACCTTCACTTATTTTTTCACCTTAATAATTTTAGTTCTCCTATTTTATTTTATGTATGAATAAATAGTCTTATATAACTATACTTAAACCAGAAACACAAATGCCTACACATAAGCAGCTATAAGAATAAGGTACTCTACTCACACTCTGTTTATTATTATTGTTGTTGTTAGTGTTGTGTTGGAAAAAGTGCAATAGAAAAATTTTATTTCATTTTATTTTCATTTTTTTTTTCTTTGTCTTTTTTTTATTATTTTTTGATATTTTAAGAATTAAATTTGAATATTTTATTTTCTTTTCCTAAAAATTTTTATTATTTCTCTCACGTTAACGTAAACAAAACAAAAGAAAGAGAAGAAGAAGAAAAATGAAAAAAGATGAAAATTCTTTTAAAGTACAAAAGAATTTTTTCTATCTGTCAATCAAGAGAAAAGGTGCGATTTTACAACATGAATTACAAATAAGATTTAAATTGAAGTAAAAAAAAAACAAAAATAAAAAATATTAACTATAAAGTCACCTAAACTAAAATACCGTTTTTGATGATCTAGGCTAGGGTACGAATTGCAAAAATTCCTTATCATAGGTAAAAGAATTTTTTTTGAATACTTTATTGATTGCAAGAAACTGTTCATAGTACTTGGTATTGTGTGAATTTTGTGACATATTAAGGTTCGCAAGCATTTTTGAAAAAATTATAGGTAGCAGAAAATTTTAAATTCAGAAAAGGTGGGTATTTGTAATAAATTTGCACTGGTCAACATGTTTAAAGTTTTATACTCCAGCTTATAGCTACAAACTTTATCTTAAGAAAGGGAAGAGCCTTATAGGAAAACGGGTATGAATTAAAATCTAATCATCCCGAAAATATCATATTGAAAATTTATCAAACATATTTAACTACAATTTGTTGATAATTTGATTGACATTCAACATAAATTACCATGCTTATGGTATGTATGTACCTACTTGTATAGTTAAATTTAAATACAATTACGTTTACTTATTAAAATTATAACTACTTATTTGTATTCAAAGTTTTAATCTTTAAGTACTTATTTATTTATATTCAATTCTGTTCTACATAAATAAGTAATTTATATTATTATTATTTGAGTATATTCTTATACAAATGAACAAAGTATGAACTTATTTACCATTCAATTTGCACTAGAACCATTCAATTTGCAAATGTATTCAAGAATATTGTAATAAGATAAGAATATTTTAGTACTCAATACGAGTATATACATAATTAATTATTTTGAGTGAAAAGGAATAAATAAGTATATAAGTAAGTATAACTAGAATTTGTATAACAAAAGAGTATTTTAGATTAAAAATTCATAAAGCATTTCTTACAGATAATTATGGATTTTTGTTTTTTAGTTGTGCATTAAAAAATATTTTATTTTAAAAAATTTCTCTTTTCTAAAAATAATATAAGTAGTATGAGTATTTTGTGTGTGTAAATATGAGTTTAAAAGGGGATACTACAGTTGACAGACTAATTTATATTAGAACATACTAAAATATTTATGCAGATTATTTAAGAAAATTATAATTATGTGCTAGTTTTAACAGTATTTTAATTCATAATCTTTATTATCTTTTGACAATTTGGTTATAAAATTCCAGATACCTACTTAAATTTAGAGCTTATAGCAATAATATAAACATGAGTAATAAATTACCCCATTAAGCACTAAATAATCAAATAAAATTTCAATGTCAAATGACCATTTATCACTTCCATTTCAATTTGCTTTAAAAAATTCTCTAATAATTCGTTATTTAAGTAATTGACCTAAAACTTATTGAAAATTGACATACAACTGATTGAATTTTAAACCGTATCTTGCATTATTTATGAAAAGATATATTAAAGTAAATAGTAACTATTGTTACTACTTATAAGTACAATATTATCAGTAAATATTATTGACTTAAATCTGTTATTACGCTTATTAAAGTCAAAAAGCCACTTGAAATAAAAAAAAATTTGTATAAATTTTAAAATGTTAAACTTACAAACATAAATATAGTTAATTATACCACTATTAAGTGGTAGAATTTTTTTTAAAAATAAAATAGTTGATGGCTTGTAATTAATGATTAATCAACATATTTAAGAAATATTTAACGCTTAATGTAAAAATCCACTATATAATTAAGTATACTCACTTAAAATCATCTGAGATTTTTAATTTTAACAAATTAATAAGAAAACAAAAAAGCTCACCTACCATCATATTTACTGTCTGAAATACACAACCTTTATAAATCTACATAATAATTATTATACACTTAACTACTTATAAGTAGCTACTTTTATCTACATGACTACCTTCTAGATCTAAAACAAAATCTATTACAAATTTTAAAAAATTTCAGATAAATACGTTTAATTCTTTCATATATTACGAGATATTATGGGTATATGTAGAATTATTTAGTTCAAAATTTAATGGGAATTGGGAAGTAAAGTAATTTAAAACGAATATTGTCTCAAGATGAAAGAGAAAAAAAAAGAGAGACCTAAAAAACAGGAACTAAAACAATAATATCGTAATGAAACATTATAAAATAATTTTTTACTTAAAACGGAAAAGAACATAAGAAATCCCGAAAATTGTCTTAATTCCAAATTATTATAAAGTAGAAGCAAAAAATACAGTAAACCTTATGATTTTCGTAATTTAATGCTAAACGATTTGATAATTTTATTGGATAATAACTCTAAGGTACTTACGTTATATAAAATCAAATTTCGAGTCTCAATTTCAACATCATCAACACATTCTGAAGAAATGCTTAGAATAAAATTTTGAGAGCTGAAATTTTAAGTGCAAGCGATCGGAAACAGTAGAAACCTTGCGTTAAAATAATTGCTTGCTTCATAAGACTTTAATATTCTAATATTTAATTTCTCTTATTTGTTTAGAATACAATTAAGTATTTGCTTACCTACATGTAATTACTAATTACTAATTAGTATTCTAAAATAAGTAAGTATAAGTACTGAGTAATAAAACTAATTTATTATATTGAACTTAGAACAATTTACTCCGATTTATTATAATTAATAGTGTAAGTACTTATAGTATCTTCAATATTTCATAAAATAAATTTAGTATTATTAAGTAAATTAAATACTACATATACTTATAATTTACCAACTTGTATGAGTTTTAAATGAAAATAGTTTCGGACGATGGTTTCAATTTTTAGGAAATAATTTTAATACAAAATTGAACTGAACCATTTAAAAACTTGTTATACTCAAAATCCTAAAAAATTAAATTAATAATACTTGTACTAAGTAAGGAATACTTAATTAAAAAGTAAGAATTTAGTAGAATTATCGAATTACTAACCAATTCCGAACATACATTATCGAACTAGACAAACATTATCGAGCTAAAG